CTTAAATGTGCATCTGTGTGGGGGATAGGCGGCCCACAGAGCCGCCCACCCTTAAACAAACCACCTTCAGCTTGTTTACCATGTACCCTTAAATGTGCATGAGTGTGGAGGATAGGCGGCCCACAGAGCCGCCCCATGCTAAAACAAACCACCTTCAACTTGTTTACCATGTATGCTTATATGTGCATGAGTGTGGGGGAAAGGCGTCCCACAGAGCCCGATGCTTGAACAAACCACCCTCAACTTGTGCACCATATACAGTATGCTTAAATTGCCCACAGAGCAGCCCCACGCTTAAACAAGCACAGCGCCACAAGTAAATGCCAGAGGAACCTAGTTACAGAAACGTACCAAAACTGATGCGTTTGTGATCTACCATGTGTCTTCTGCACGCAGTGCTGAAAACAAACCCTCCTGATAGCGTTTCAAAACCTTGTTGGAAACGTATCCCCACTCATGCTCTGCCATCTCTTTTTCCAGCACAGACGCTATTCTATCCTACTTGCCTCGGCGGCTGCGGTTCTTCTTTAAAACTTGTCGCTCCCATTCTCGTTTGCTTCTGAAACCATGATCGTCACGGTACTCCATGAACCAACGCACCACACCATCTTTGCATAGGCGCTGCTTCCATCCTGGCGCTTCTGGCTGCGTTTCTTGCTCTGCGGCTGGCTGCTGGGCATCCACTGCTTGGGCCGAAGTCTCACTATTTGGAGCTGGTGTTTCTTTCGAATTCGTTGGCTGGGCCTCTGCTGATGCCAATGGTGAAACTGATTGCTGGGCATCTGCTGATGAAGCCGATTGCAAAATCTCTGGCTGGGCATCTGCTGATACCGATTGCAAAATCTCTGGCTGGGCATCTGCTGATGCCGATTGCGAAATCTCTGGCTGGGCATCTGGTGACGCCGATTGCGAAATGTCTGGATTGGCATCTGTCGATGCTGATTGAGAAATCTCTGGCTTAAGATCTACTGAGTGGTGGGCATCTGCTGCTGCCAAGTGCGAAATCTCTGACTGGACATCTGATTGCTTTGGCGGCCCACGATCCTGCACTTTTGCCTCTGAAGTCTCTGCCAAAGTCTCTGAAACTTCAGGAGAAGGATCATGGTTGTGCTGCGCAGGATCTGGATCCAGCTCCTTTTTGCGCCGATATCTTGCGACACACACGCAGGCCTTCACCTCTTCTGGACTCTCCGGCTTGGACTTCGGCTTTTTTCTATGTTTTCGTTTCTGGGGCTGCTCAGTTTGGGCACCAAGCATCTCTGACTCCAACTTCACTTGGGAAGAACCACATGTGGACGCAGTGGCCTTTTCCACGCCATCTGAAGCTCGCCAATGAAAGCAATTTTCATTGTCTGTAGGAGGAGATGGGCTGACGACCTGATTAAAGCGCAATGTTCTGCGCCTTCGTAGTGCTCTCTCTGAGCTTCTATCTTCTCTTTTCCTGGAAGTACGGCGGCGCCTGTGTCGTGAACGACCTGGTTGATGGGAGGACGATGTAGTGGCAGACATGGCTCGCTAGAAAGCAAACATGTGGTAGATAACACTCGTTTGCACTGCTTTCGTTCACATAATTTTGTATTGAAAGTGGTTATTCTTAGAACAGGCAGGGGCCATTAAATTAAACCCTCCAGTACCTAACAGTGGAACATAGTGGCACAGTTTGTACCCACTTGTGGTTTCAGTGTAGTTTCGCAGTTTTGCTTGTGACACACAAACGAAGCGCAGCTGGGAATACATGTTGACAGGTGGCACGACATAAAGCCAGTCAAACAACGCATGGGTTTCCAGGAAGATTATCTATCTACTGAATGTCACCATGGCAAAACAACATTTCTATACCCGCAAAAGCTGGCTTCAAGGATGTCTGTTGCATCCCCACTCCAACAAATCACTGAGGCGGCCCACGAGGCCGCTCACAAAGTGCGCCTGCGAAGCTGCAGGTCAGATTCAGCTTCAAAATTACAGAACTGAAGGATGTCTCTTGCATCCCTACCCCAACAAGTCACTGAGGCGGCAGGCCGCTGACAGTCAGTGCGGCCTGTGAAGCTGCAGGTCACATTGACGAAGAAGAGCTAAGCTGTCCTCATTTTGAAGGTGGTGGACCATGTCTTCGTTGCACCCAGCATGAGGTGGTGCAGCCAGGAACATTTCTGCACTTGCTGCAACCTGTAGGCTTCCACTTCTTCATTTCTTTCTGAGACGGCCATGGCCGGAGAAAAGGTTTCGACTTCGACTTTGCGTTTTTCTTCACCTTGGTCTTTGCCATCGCTTTCTGAACAGGCTTCGAAGAAGACATCACTTTCTTTGGGACGTTGCTTGCCTTGGCGCTCGCTGCTTTAGCTTTTGCTTTCGCAGTCGGGCCTTTAGCGGCTGGCCTCTTCATTGCGGCGCCTGACTTTGGAATGCCTCTCTTGTCAGTCTCACGCTTTTCCATTGCCTCATCCAAGCTCAAGAGCGCAGACTTCACACCCTTGTGCTTTTCAGGCCCTGGAACCACAGGATCGTGTTTTTCAGGCAGTGGAACCGCAGGATCGGTTTTGGACTTTACCTCCAATGGTGGTTGCAGCCGATCCTGCTCCATGGCACCAAGGTTGTCAGCTTTTGGCGCCTCTGGCATTGACACACCCGGGTTCTCAGGCTTCTCCAAGTTTTCCTGGCTTGCAGTTGAAAGCAAAGCAATAGGTTGAATAGTTTCAACCGCCGCAGGAGACGATGTTGCCGGTGGGCTTGGGGTAGACGCCCTGGAATGTCCATCCATGGGCTTAGTTGTCGTCAAATTCTCTGTCTTTGGCAAGGTTTCCGGTTCCATTGTCAAAGCAAGTGGAACTGTCGGAGCAGTAGGGCCAGTCATGGAACGCTCCTGGCCCTGTTGATGAGCCCACTGGTTCAAAGACCCCATACCTGGCATACACCCGGAAGACAGCTGCCCACAGCTCGACATCATGGCCTGAGCCATATATTGCATCAAATGAGTTGGCAGGAAGCCATGCTGCAATGACCCAGAAAAGGCTGCAGGACGCGGCGCTTCTTTGTGGGATTTTCGCAAAGGCATCGTCCTCGCCAAAAAGATAAGATTCTCCGTCTGAATCCTCAGCAGTGGCAATGAAACAGAAAACACAATGACGACATCAAAGGTCGATGCACACGTCTATGTGGGTTTAGGCTCCTGCTTACCATCAATAAGCGGTACGCGACTGAATGCATTTGCATGTCTGTAAACCGTTAAATGTACATAGATTTCCTTTGAACAGATGCCAAGAACAGACAGGAAAATGAAACATCTACATTACCATTCCAAGATTCCTCGGCGGAACTGGCTCCCCACAGTCACCGTACATTCTCCTCCGCGGATCTTCATGGAGCTCTCTGAAGTCACCTGGCAGAGAAACAAGGTAGGTGCCAATGATGCCCGGGTCTTGGCCTTTTGACATCTCTAAGATAGCCTTCACTTGGGTCTTGACCGTCGTGTGCAAGCTGAACCAGTCCTGTGTGGTTTGAAAGTTGCGCTCATTCTCAGGCATTCTCAAAACCAACATGGCCGTGAGTGTCCCATAGACCGTTTCTGAGGGACATCGCAGGCCAAGATTGAATAAGAACTGCACGACTTGCTTCAGAACCAGAGATGTGTTGGTTCCTTTCAAAATCACTTCCCAAAGGTCTGCCGTCAAGAAGCACGCCCAAGTCAACCACTCTTGCATGGGGCGTTTCCCCTTCGGATCCAAAGGAGCACCTTTCATTTTTTCATGCAGGGCATCTAAGATTGCTTTCACATCCTTCCCCTCAATCACACCCTCGGCTGACTTCACTGTAGATGCCAAAGCCGTTGCTTGCTCCAAGGACATTTTGGGAAGCGCTGAGATTTTCTCACGAAGGGATCGCACATGGGCTTCGATGAGCACTGGTTCTGCCGATGAGGCGCGCAGAAACTCGATCAATGCCTTCATCTGAGTCTCCACACCATCAGCCATGGCGCTGCGCGGACACTATAAGGCGGTCCACAAAACCGCCCGCAGCCTATCGCAAAGAAAAGCCAAACCTGGCAAGACATTACAAAAGCTCAGAGTGCTGCATCTAAAGTTCCAAAGTTCAGCAAAGAAATATTCATTTGTATAAAATGTTTCGCTGATGACATATATATATAGAACGCAGACAACGCACACCCAGTTCTGGAAAAGACCAGAACTGGCAACGCACAAAAAATCCTATTTAGCCAGTGTCGGATTTTAATAGCCGACGCTGGAAGTAATACGCACAACACACACCCAGTTCTGGAAAAGACCAGAACTGGCAACACACACTGGAAGTTGAGCCCAACGATTCCTAAAGAAAAAGAAGATGAGCTGACGACAACTATAGGCGGCCCACAGAACGGCCCTGAAAGCCTCTACAAACCGTGCCCCAGCTATACCAAACAGCGCAAAAAAGAAAACGAACACTTGCAAACTCTTTTTCACACGCAAAAATCAACATCCTGCAAGCGGCCCACCAAGCCGCTCAAACATGGATTAACCCACTACTTCTCGGCAGGCTCCGACGTAAACAACAAAACCTCTTCACACTGGTCATACTCATTCCAAACGTGCATGGCCACAACATTATCTTTCTGCACGCGCAGCTGATCCTTCACCTGAAAATAGTAGCTCTCGTACGCAATTATCCAAGTGCTCTGCTCATGCCGTGGCGCGATAAGAAGGTCCCGAGCTTTTTGAATTGGTTGGAATGCATCATCTGTGTCAGACCACTGCAGGCCTGGAAGCACATCTTGAACAAAGTATAAGTTGAACGCCTGCCCCTGTTCAATTGGGACCACGCAGTATTTCGCGAGCTGCCGCAGAGTCAGAGTCATGGCCACACATACAAATGATCTCCTAAACAAAGAACACGACAGAGAGTCATGAACCCAGACTATTGCGAAGAGAATGAAAAACAACTCAACACCCATTCGCAAACTGAAGAAGCATGTTTCATTCTTTTTACAGAAACTCCGCACGCACTTGACAAATTGCACCAGCAACTTCTCCTTCTCATTTTGCGACTGTAAAAGCTAAGTTCCGCTAAGTTCTGCTAAGTTGTCAGGTTCGCCGGTTTGAAAAAACAGACCAAACATTTAGGAACACTTATCCAAACATACTAAGCCTGCTAACCACTGTAGGTTGACTTACAAAAACTTAAGAACTTACGTCAACATGTCGAAGTTAATATCAATTTAAAGCTATAATAAAACTAAATTTAACCAATGTTATTAACTTGCCCTATATTGGGTAAGTAGAAACGGCCCTCGTTGTGTCGCCTTAGAACACGCAGCGGCCATGATGTGCCGAGAAGCCGGGGCCCCGGGTCACCGCCCATACCCGCGTTGCGGACCTCGAGTTACGTCCGTGATGTCGCAAGGCCATGCGGATTAGCGCGGCCTTGATGGAAAGTGCGTTTGCGTGGCGCCGTGCCACTGGGGAGCGCGAAACATGCTGGCGTAAACGCGGCGTGTCGCTGGTGAGCGGGATGATTGGCGGTATCGTGCGCTAGGATTGCTTCTAGTGTGTGGGCAGACCGTGTGGCGAATTACGTCCGTGATGTCGCAATGCCATGCGGATTAGCGCGGCCTTGATGGAAAGTGCGTTTGCCTAGTGTGTGGGCAGACCGTATGGCGAATTAATTCCGTGATGTCGCAGTGCCATGCGGAATTGCGCGGCTTTGATGGAAAGTGCGTTTGCGTGGCGCCGTGCCCCTGGGAGCGCGAAACATGCTGGCGTAAACGCGGCGTGTCGCTGGTGAGCGGGATGATTGGCGGTATCGTGTGATAGGATTGCTTCTAATGTGCTCTGTACATTTACATCGTCACACGCTCACATCCGCAGATCTACCTCTGTACATCCACACTGTCACTCCTTCACATCCGTTCTATTTTATTTTGTTCTTCCTATCCTTCCTCTCACCTGCGTAGATCTATATCTTGACACGCTCACATCTGCAGATCTACCTCTCCACTTCCACACATCTGTACATTTATATCGCACCTGCACATCCACACTGTCACTCCTTCACGTCCGCCCTCGCCTTCCCTCTTTCTATATTTTTTTAAGTTTAATTTTTCCGCAACTTTTTACTCAATAGCAGATTGTATAAAATTACACCGGCAAGGGACCCCAAATAGTGTAAACGCAATCCTGCGAATGACACACGCCTGCCAACGTTTTTGCAACGTCCACAAAACACTGCGCCTGCCACGAAATTTACAAAGTTTCCGATTCCTTGCGCCTGCCACGTAAAATGACCTTTTCGAGGCTCCAATGCGTCGAATTCCTTGCGCCTGCCACGCAAAATGCACTTCGTGTCCGAAAACGAGCACGGCACCTGCACGAGAGCTTTGTCCCGGAAGC